TACTTGTAGTATGTCTTCTTTTAAATTATTCTTGTGGGCTTCATTGGGTCCTTTGGCATAGTTTATCTTCATTTTGTTGGAGTCTGGATCTGAGTTTCTGTTCTCTTCATTCCCCTCTGGTTCCTGTACTAATTTTTTGCTGTGGGGAAACTGGTTTCCCTGTTTTTTCTGTCTTCCTGTCATTGTCCTTGGTGTTGTTACTGTCCCTGTACTGTGTGCAATTAAGTATTTTCTAGCTTGTAATAATAACAATGGTAATATTTAGAATGGAAGATTGAGCTGAGATGGAAAGCAAGAAGTTAAAGAAAAGGGAAAACAAATATACAGACAAGAGGGAGAAAGCAGAACAAGGTATCAGACAAGAGAGTTTCAAAGGTATAAACAGGGAGTGTTAGTGTACTAATCGACAGTAAGCTGAACAGACATTAGAGAGACAGAGAGAGGATTGAAAATCAAAGATAAAAAAATAAAAAATAAGTAAATGGAAGTAATATCTATATATAAAAATGAATTAAAATAAAATGGAAAATAGAAAATTAAAAAAAAAAAAAACCAAAACTTCCAAGTTTAATGCAATGCAGTTTCAGTCTTAATAATTTGGTGTCCGTCTCAATCTCCAGTCCTGGAGTTGGTGCCTCAGATGTTGTTCTGTAGTTGTCTCATCAAAGGGATGCATAAAGTAGAACAAAACTACACACACACACACACACACACAAAAAAAAAAAAAGCCCCACCAAGTGTCCCCAGTTCAAATGCAATACAGTTTCAGTAAGTTTTTCGGCTTGCAGGTGTAATTCAGTTGTTCTCTCATCAAAGGTAGGGAGAAAAAGAAAAAAAAGCGTCTGGAGACAGTTCTGAGAGTGGTATCTGCAACTGTGGCTTGCCTGCCTGCTGCTCTCAGCCTGTAGCTGGCGGCGTTATTTATGCAGATCTCTGGGGTAAGCTAGCGCTCACCTGGTCCCACAGGCTTTGTTTGCTCAGAGTTCTCCTGTGCGGGAGCCTCTGCTACAGGCTTTCCCCTTTCCAAGCACTGGGAAAGGTGACACTGCCCCGCGTTGTCAGGCCTGCGTGTTTATTTACAGTTCATGTGGGCGGTGGGTCTTCCCCCCTCTCCTCTGAAGTCTTCCTCCCACTGCCACTTTCAGCAGCTTTCCTGCTCCTGCTTACTGGGTGGTGCTGCTGCTCCTGCCTGCCGCCATGTTTGTTTCCAGTTCACGTGGGAAGTGGGTCTTCCCTCCTCTCACAAGCTTCCCTGCTCCTGGTTGCTGGGCATGCGCCCCGCTCCTGCCAGAGCCTCTCCGGCCTGCCCGGCTTGTTTATTTACAGTCCCGGGAAGGATTCCCTTCCCCCAATCTTCAGCGCTCAGGGCGCCCCACCCTCTTTCCAGCGTGTCTTAACTGTTCTTATTGCTTATTACTCAGTTTCTCTTTTTTTCCCCGGGTGGAGGTCAGTCTGTCCAGGGGGCTATGCTGCTCTGGCCCAGGCTTGTCTGTGGGGCTACCGCGGTACCGCGAAGCTCACCTGGTCCGCGTCTTCCCACGCCGTATGGGCGCTGGCCACTGGCGGCCCCGGGGGCCCTCCTCGTTTCTCCGTTTAACGTGAAGTGGAGATTCTCTGCGCCGGCTGGAGATGTGGAGGAGTCAAAGTTATGCCTTTTCTCAGTGATTATGCCTGCAAAGTGTGTCTCCAGCGTCTCTCCAAGATTTCACTATAGGAGGGTCGCTTTCTGCTTCCTACCTCTAGCTGCCATCTTGGAATCCTCCCTGAATTACAGAATTTATACAAAAATGTTCTTTCCCTTCTATGACAGGTTGCGTGAAGAGAAAGTCAAAGAAAAACAAAAACACCAGGAGGAAAGGCTAAAAGCTGCTCTGGAAAGAGCAGTAGCACAACCAAAGAAAAAGGTTTGTGTTTGCTATTAGTGGGTCCAGCCATATCAGTAAGTGCCTCTGTGGCGCAAAACCAGAACACTTTTATCCTTCTAACATACCCAGGTTCAACTTCACTGAAATGATCTTTACAGTTAGCTTCAATTGGTCTCACTCTTGTTTGTTACTTTTGGAGTAATTCAAATCACTAGGTCTACAGTTCCCATTAACATACTTTTTACTTAAAAGAAATCTCTTCCCTTTTCTTTTAGCCCTGGGTTCATGAAACCCGATTTAAAAAAAAATTAAAAGGTCATGCAAGCATATGGCTCAAACCACAAGACATGAAAGTATTGTTTTCCCCATTTCCCCTCTAGGATGCAGTTTCTTCCACATCCTTATGAAATCAATGTAGTCAGTACACATTCCTATCCTTGTAAGCAGTAGCTATGAATCTTGCTTTTTTCACTCAATATGCTTGGGAAATAGTGAACCCAGGGAATTACATGCAACTGAAAGGATCTTCGAATCTCTGTGTCATAAAGGAAATAGGATAGTTGAAGTTAAAATAATCTGCACACACACTTCAGATTTAGCACAATTGGGATCGGAAGCAAATTTCTTTATATTACACCCAATCAGAGGTCTGGAATTAGGCAATCACTCACTGAACGTGGTCCATGACTTCCACACTTGGTGAAAAGAGCTTTTTGTTTCTATGTGCCTCTCTCTGCCTCCTCTGGGATAGGGTCTAAAATATAACACAGGAAGACAATTTCACGGTTATCTACAAAGCTAACATAGATATTCTTAGCCTAGTAATAGCTAATACGTAGGAAGTGCTTACCACCCTGCCATATGTACCTATTATTCAGTAAACACACCAAACAGAAATTTTTAAAATATATCCATGACTAGTCCAAGACTTTAAGACCTTTGTATCCCCACTACCTGGCATATAGAAAATAAAATGCAGTGAAAACTAAACCTGGAAAAAAAAATTTTTAAATGATAACCTAAATAAAAACATCAACATACAAAGACCTGAGTTTACTCAGAATGCATCATTGACAATTTTCTTACAGTATTAATGACAAAGATGACCAAAGATCACCTACAGTTTTTTTTTTAAAAATCTGACATTAGAAAAAGACTTCAGGGATTCCAGTCTCTGAAGGACATTTTTGTTGGTATAATGATGGGGAAGTTATTAGGTTCTCTAGGCCAGGAAAGTTAAGCATTCTACAATGCATCATGTGAGCATCATCCAGCCTAAAATGTTGACAGCACCCCTTCTGACAAACATAGTGGAAATATTGTATCAAATCTCATGTCCAACAGAATATGGTAATTTCCTCATCCACAGTTAATTTATATAAATTTACCTATAAAAGCTAAGCGAAAGCAAGAGGGAGAGGATCATAAGTGATATACTTAAATATATACTCCAGAGAAAAGGAATAGATAAGCACTGGGGGTTTCCCAAAACTCTCCTGATGGGAATACCTCCAAGAACCAACAGTATCCCTGGAGTTTAAGAAGGTAATACATGGTTTTCTGGTTTCTGCGTAACAAGATTTCTAAGTGCTGTGCAAGAAAGAAATCTCTTCCAACCACTGAGGAAAATCTCACCGTGACACTTGCTGAGAAATCAAATGATGGTTTTCAACATGTTGCTTTTCCAGGCTGGCCATATTTGAACCATGTGCTATGTGAAAAGTTTTATCTACATCTCCTCACTTCTGCAAAAACCTAACTGCTGAATTCCACATACTATGCATGCTCAATTTGCCACTTAACTTTGCCTAGTACGTTGGACCTCCATTAGATTATCAATCCCCTCATAACTATGACTTAGCATTTTGCTTTTATTGTAAAATCTAGTTAATGTAAAAAATTAAAATTGACAATTTACATACCTCAACAGAAAATGGTTATGCTAAATACTAAGTATTTTGTTTTTCTTTCCTTCCAGTTGGGAAGACGACTTGTTTACCGTTCAAAGCCTCCATCTGATAATAAACATGCAGTACTTTTAGTCAATGACACAAGAACAAAATCACAGGATGAGTATTTTTTTAGTTGAATAGGAACAGTAAGACATCTTGTTATCAAAATATTTTATAGATTTTGGCTTTCAGTAACGGCAGTGTTCTGTTCATATACTGTCCTAACCAATTCGAGGAAGACAGGCCCTTATTCCAAAGGTTATAGGATTAGAAGTTACTTCCTTTTGTTGAAGCTTTCTTTCATCCAGAAGTATTATTCCATATAGCTAAACATTTACATCTATATTTTGAGTTGCCCCAGTTGGGGATATAGCTATACGGGAAAATAACAATAAGATGTTTAATAACTTTTCTCTGACAATATGAGAATTTACATATTTTTTCAACCAGTCTATAAAGAAGTTCAAAGCACACTGTTAGCAGTGGACAATGTACATTTTAACAATGTACAACCCTAAAATGTCTAAAGGGTTTTTGATGGGCTCAAAACTTACATAAAAACTACTAATTGTGGTCTCAGAATATAATCATGAAACTAGTATTTCATTGTTCTGTTCAGAAAAGTTTCAAGTAAACAAACCATGCCTATAGCCTAAATATCAGGCCACCATTTCTGTTGTGCCCTATCTTCACAATCATTTTTATTTCCAGATGTTCTGACTTTATCTATACAATGTACATTATTTAGCCTATATTCATGTAGAATAAACATGTAATTTATGAGCTACAGCATATATTAATCCTAAGAAAATGTTTATCTTTATTCATGTTAAAAGTGGCTCAAAAACTTTAAACAATTGCTCTTAAAAGGTCTGTTAATATATAAGTGCTGAAATTCACCTTCATAAAAACTTCTAAAGCATATAATTATCTCATAGGAATAAAACAGTATTGACTTACAATGAAATTGGGTGGCTTTTAAAACATTAGTTGAATGACTCATCTTTCAATTGTCTCAGCATTTGAGCTTTGCATGTGATTATTTGCATTAAATAGTTTACAAGTCAGGTTGAAAAACAAACAAATCTTTATTGTCTAGAAATATACATTAAAAAAATTCTGCACAAAAGAAGCTATTTTTATTTTCCCAACATCTTCATCTTTGCTGATGCCTCTTCCACAATTCAAGTTCAAAACCAAATCTTTATTGTCTAGAAATATATATATATATATATAAAGACCCCCGACGGTGCTATTCTCTCATTTCCCCATCTTCTTCCTCTTCTTCAACACCTCTGATATAAAGGACATTATTACACCTGTAAGTAGAAAAACAGTCCATTTTGTTGTTTCAACCAGAAACCATATGGTCTGAATTACTAGTCCTAGATTTTTCTCATTTTGAAAATATTGAATGCTGGATTTTAATATCTGGTTCTTTTTTTGTAAAAGGAAAGTTTTATATAGATTTGTTAAAAAGCATATGGCAAGTGGCTGTCATGACATCTTAATGACTTCAAAGGAAATACTAACTAGAATTTGGAGTCTTGCTAGTACTAGAAAATATGTACAGCATAAATGCTTAGCAGCCACAAATAAAATTCAAAACTAAGTTCCTGCATCGAACACCACTGAAAAACTATACTGCTAAGAGCCAGAAAACGTAACATTAACCCTAGGAAAATCTTAAGGATAAATAGCTCCACGTATTTAAATCTTACCTTTGACAAATTTAACAAGGACTTTTAAAGTCTTGTTGTAGAATATTATATTAAATTAAGTGTTTTTAAAAAAGTAATTCCCAAATTGAGGCACTAATTTATTTCAGTAGCTATTTCTAATGCTCATCAGCAAGCTTTATGTATATTAGTGCTATCTGGTACCTTATTAAAACTTCACCCAGATGTCCAGACAATGCCCCATCTATGTATTCTTCTGTGTTTGCGAGCTTTAAATTAAAAAAAAAAAAAAAAATTAGTATAATCACACAGGAGAAGAACAGTACAACAAACCTAATACTGGGGAGAAAACTTATTAACCGAGACCTTTCCAGTTAATCAACAAGTCAAATTAGAAACTAGCTTTGTATCTCTATTGTACTTTTTGGTTTCATATAAGCATTCGGTACAAAATAACATTGGATACATGAATAATGTAGAATATATAATAAAATTTGTTTTCAACATAAGTTGCTAAGCCTCCCAGGATGTGTAATAGTTCTATTAGACATCAAAACAATGTATTAAGAAAGGAAATCTCTAATTTGTGAGTAAATTGCAATTAAAAAGTTTCCTAAAAATTTAGTTTTAAAAACCAGACATTAACTTTTCTCAGAGTAAAACATTATAAATCATATTGACACACCCAAAAGCTATGGCTAAACTATATTAGTCAACACCAATGAGCTGGTAAGGTTTAAAATTTTTACATACTAATAAACAAGGAAAAATGAATTCTTAAGAGTTTAGTTGGCCAGGTGTGATGGTATGTCCATATAATCCCAGCACTTGGGAGGTGGAGGCAGCAAGATCACAAGTTTAGGCCAGCCTTTTAGCGGGGCCCTATCTAAAAAAATGCAAGGGGAGGGGGAATTTTAAACAGTTAAGACTGACCTTTGTAATTACTTCAGGAAACTATTATTTCTGATTTTAAATCAATCAAAATGTTTAGTTTTCCTTCTACATACAGATAATAAACTCCATTGTAATTTTTAAAAATCACTGCCAGTGCCACCTGTAATTCACAGAAGGAATCAACAGGAAAAAAGGGAGAGAAGGAAGTTTCCTTCATAAGTAGGCAAAAGGAGAAGGTAAAGAAATATAGGGCTTTAAGAGGATGTGATGTGAGGCATTTAACACATGTTCATCAATTAATACTGTTAGTAGGTATTATTCCTTTTCCACTAGCAAACAAAAAGTAGCCTCTTATACCCAGGAATAATCTGGGTTAGTCTGAAACATAGGGTTGTTGAGATACTACATTTTCTGTGCTAATGCTATCAAAAATAAAGCATTAAGAGCAACTCATTTTTAAAAAGTCATTACTTTGGGCATGTTCTCCAACATTTAACTGGTTTCTAAATTATACAGCAACACTCCAAAGGCTTTCTATCATGTATTAAATTAAAAACTCTTTATCACTGCAAACCTAACTTTCTGTTGTCCTTCCTCTAAATCATTCTGCTCTGGCCTTCACCACCTCTGCTACCACCACACAGTAAAGGGGATTGAACCCAAGGCCTCACAATGGCTAGGCAAGGGCTGGAACTATGCTCTTAGCCCTTTTGTTTTTGAGATAGGTCTCAATTTGCCTGGGCTGGCCTTGAACTTGACAGCCTCCTGGTGTTCTGGCTTTCTTGCTCGTCCATCCAACCAAGATGCTCTTTCCCTAGTTATTCAAAAGATGCTCATTTAATTCTAGTCTCAGCTTAAATTTACCTCCTCAGAGAGGCTATCCTAATATTGCATACGTTGTCACCTTCTTTGTCTTCATAGTAATACCCGATATCACATTATATACCTGATATCACATTATATTATCTCCCATCACCGAAACAAACTCTTGAGGTTAAGGGCTTTGTTCTGGTCAATGTATACTGAACAGTACCAAATAATTGGCACCCAATAATTTTTTGCTGAGTGAACAAATTCAAAAGCTGATAATATGCGTGGTGACTCAGAGATACATTTTGTAACTCTAAGCTAAATTAATTTGAAGAACAAATATTAAGCAGATATTACTCCTTATTTTTTGTATAATTTCCATAACATAAAACTCACTTTAAATTGTACAATTCTGTGGTTTTCAGTATATTCACAAAGTTGTGCAACTATCACCACTAATTTCAGAACATTTTCATCACAGTGGGTGTACTTTTCAGATTTTTTCTATAGCCTTGGTAAATGATTCCTGTTTTAAAGTAAAGCCATGCTTTATAAGAGCTATGACTATCTTAGCATTGTCACCTGTTTGGTTGGCAAACACTTAGGGAAAATCTTAGTTCTACTTACCTAAGTACTCCTGTTGGTACTCTGTTTACAAGTATAGAATCCCTGGAGTCGGTTGGATTGACCACCTACCTAAGTAATCTTTAAAAGTCTGGCTAGAATTCTATTACAACTAAACAATAACAACAAAAACAACCTAATTTAAAAATGGGTAAAGAACATAAATAGGCATTTCTCCAAAGATAAAACAAATGATCAGTAAACACATGAAAAAGTACTCAACATCATTAGGGAAATACAAATCAAAACCACTATGAAGATACTACTTCACACCTGTTACGATAGCTATTATGTATGTAAAAAGTGTTGATGAAGACATGGATAAATTTTATATAGATAGTTGTTATGCTGCATTGTTTAGACTGACAAGAAAAAGAAAAAAAAGCCTGTACATATTCAGTACAGATACAATTGTCCCCCAAATATTTTCAACTTAAAGTTGGCTGAATCCCCTGATGTAGACCCCAGACACAGAAGGCTGACAATATTTTATAATTCCACTTATATAAGATTGATAATAGAGACAGAAAGAATAGTGTTTATCAAGAGCTGAGTGGAAGAGAGGGAATAAGGAGCTATTTTTTAAATGGGTACAGAGCTTCACTTGTGATTTAAAAAGTTCTGGAAATGGAGTACAGTGTTGGGTGCACAATAATTAATTAAGTTAATGCTACTTAATTACACACTTGAAAATGGTTAAAGTGACAAGTTTTTAATGCATATGCTACTACAATAAAAAATTAATTACAAAGAAAAAACCCTGGTTCAATCATTTATAGAAATTAACAGACATGCAAGTTCAATTCCTTTGACTGACCTAACTCTCCCCAAGAATTGCCTTTACTGAATTTGGTGCTGTGCTTTTAACATCCATTAAAAGAGTTAATTTCAGTTGAAAAATGTCTTTCAGAGCTAAGTGCTGGGAAGTTTTGCTCTGTCCAATAAACTAGTGGACAGTTTTCCTAATGATATTATGAGTCAAATGTCAAAGTTCTTCTTACTTTAACCACTAAGAGTAAAATCTGTGACTGAATTTTAATTTAACCCATGTCTTGGCCTAGATTTCATTCCTAAATTTTGCTTGGTCAATTTAACTGTATGTATGCTAATTAGTCACACTTAACCTCTGAAGAATAAGCAGCAAAATAAATACAAATTTTTATGAGCTTTATCAACTCCTCAGCTTACCTGCATGTTCATATAGCCATCTACTGATACCAGGTAGCCTTTATACTCCATTCCCCACTTAAGTTTTACCATCACTGGCTTTCCTGTTAATCCATTGAGGAAAGGTTTGGGATTGAGGGGTAAACTCTGTGGAAAGAAAAAAGTATTCAGTTGATTTTTTTTGCTTAGCTTAGCCTACACTCTTCTCTACCAAATTATTGATCAATATTTAAAGGTATGCAAATGAAGCAGTTTTTGTTTTTGTTCTAGTTATTTTGAGACAGGAGCTCCCTCTGCAGCCCAAGCTGGTGTGGAACTCTTGATTCTCCTGCCTCGGGTTTCCAGAGTGCTAGAATTATAGGCAAGCAACACCACACCTCGCAGCTCAAATGAAGCAAACTCTTTATCCCCTATCACTTTACTACGTAATTTTCACTTTTATTTGTTGAAGAACATCAAGAAAATTTAAATATCCAGTTAGCCAGTTTCATCTTCAACTTATCAAGACAAATATTCATTACACTTAAGAAAACACTGAATACATACATCCAAGGTCTAATGAAACAAAGGCACAAACAACAAAAATGTTATCAAAGAGTCCTGTTCTCTTGGAGGGGCATATAAACAACAAATTATACTGTATATTGCAAGGTACTAAGAGAAGATTATGCTATACATAAGGCTATCAAACCAATCCTGGGAAAACAGAAAGGTTGCATGAAATAAGGAATGCCTCAGTTTTTAAAGGATGAGAGATTATTCCAAAGGGCTGAGGCAGGCAAGGGAGCTTACCTATGTAAAAGTAGGTAAGACATGAACCAAGGTAATCTCAGAGAACACAGAAACAATTCAGTAATGTCAGTGAGAGTTCCAAATACTAGACTAGAGAAAGAAACAGGTCAGATCATACTTGACAGTCTTTCACTTTAATTCTGGGAGCTAGTTCTTATTAGACTTTTTTAATCACAGGCAATGTCTTTTAATTCAATTACTTAAAGTTTATTTAATATTCCCTGTGAACTCAAACTTTCTTCCCCTCCTCTCATCATCCCTAAAACAGGGCAAGAACCAAGATCAGCATATTCAGAGTGATCCCGGAGGACACAGCTACTGCATAACCTAGTGGGTCTCCAATTTCCACTGTCTCCCATTTATTAACCATGAAGCAACTATTATTGTTCAAAGGTTTCCAATTGCTCTTGGGGTGGAATCAAACCTCTTAATATGGTCCAAGAGGTCCTGACCCTATCTCATAACTCCGATTAGAGCAAACAGCTGTACTTTTCGGTGGATTCCTTTCCAGCCCTGAGGCTTAGGCTGCTGTTCCCCATGCTTGCTAGGGTGCTCTCTTCTTGCTGCTCTGCCTGTCACTTAGGTGTCAGGTCAAAATTCCACCTTACCTCGGGAAGCCACCTATGACTATACCAAAGCGTTCCCTCCCAGCATCCTGTCTGCTTCCTCCTTAGCACTTACCACTACTTGCGACTGCGTGTTTCCGTTACCACTTCACCAGGGTCTCCCTCCCGCATCCTACTGAGTTAATGTAGAGCAGAGTCCGCATGGGCCCTTGCACCTCCACATAGCTAGCACCTAGGAATACCTGGCAGGTAGTATGCGCTATCTGGGGAATAAATGCATGCTCAAAAGCCTGGGCTTTTGTGTTCTAGACGACCACGGGCTAGGATTCCCAACCTCGAGATTTCGGAAGGTGGCGGGTGGAAAGTGAAAACCCGCCTCGGTTTTTACCCCTACCCCGTGCCTCTTCCCCCCCCCGCCAACAGCAACACTTCAGGTTCGGGTCCAAATAACGAAGAAGAGGGGGAAGGGGGGTTCCCCTGGGAAGGGCATCAGAAAGAAGGCGCGCCTTAGAACCCCAGAGCAGGCAGAAAAGGGGCGGCGACCAGTGCGCGGCGCCTCACGCCGATGAATGGGAAACGCGCGAAACAATCTCCGGGCCGGGCGAGGCTGCCGCCCTCCCTCCGCCTCTCCCTTTTTCCTTCTCAGAAACTTCTTTCTCCTCACCATCGCGAATATGGGCGAATGCTGCAAACTACCCGCCGCCGCCGGTCCCTCGTGACAGGAGCAGCTACTGCAAGACCAAAGCGCTGAGCCTCAAGAGAAATGGCCGCCAAACTGCACCGTGACCTTTCACCTCGCACCACAGCCCTCTCGCTCCCGTGATTGGGCGCAAAGAGAGCTGTGCTGATTGGAGGAGGTGGCAGCATCTCCTAGCAACTAGCCGCAAGACGAGTGTTTGTGCCCCGCCCCCTGCGCCAGGGCAGTGGAAAGCGGTTCTGCGCGGGTCTGGGTTCTGAGCCGCGCTGCCACGTTGCGGAGGCCGGGCTCGGGGGGACGCCCGGAGACAGTGTACGGGATAGAGCCGATCTGATTTCTCGCCAGCTTGGCTGATGGGGGTTTATTTGGCTTTGTACAACTACGAGACCGGGGCTACTGAGTTCCTCATTCTCCTATAGAATCCGCGGGGCTTTCGGGGGGTAGGCGGATGGGGAAGCGCCTCTGCCACGGCCCCCTTCTTCCTAAGCGTTCTCTAGTCTGCAAGGGACATTTCACCATTTTGAATGGAAACGGGAGGAGCGAGACTAAACAGAGAGTCGGGAACAGAATTTATTTCAGACGAGGACAAGTTGAGTCTGGAAGTCGGGCGGTGGGCTCCCTTCCGGTTCTTTTGCATCGCCGTTTTTTGTTTTGTTTTTTAAAAACGTGCACTGGGTGAAGGATCTGGGGATTATTTATGTTATTCCGCGTTAATCCGTCTGGTATAAAGGAATCCATCAGAATCTCATTTGATTCCTCCAGAATCCCGGAGTTCGGGATAATGGTACACTCGACCTGAAATGCTAAACCAGGTTGTGCAGAATGCTCACTGGGGGAGGACCGGGTTTGTGCCGCTTTAAAGAGGTGGACTTAGAATTGAGCATTAAATGTGAGGCCTCATCTCAGACTCAGCACCCATCATGTGTTGGACAGGTGGTGTCCTCACTTCCTAAGGCTTTGTCCCCTCAGCTGTCACTTGACTTTGAAAGAATTCAGTAATTCATGTAAAAGCGGTTAGCTCTTTTCTCAGTGCAGAGAAACAAAATACTTGAGGAATTTATGTGAAGGTAATTGTGTCCCAGCTAGGACCGTTATTCTAGTTACACTTTCTGCATAGCCCAGCTTTTTTTCTGTGGAGATGGGGTCTTGCAAACTTTTTGACTTGGGTGGCTTCTAACCACACTCTTTCCTGTCTCTGCCTTCCAAGAGGCCAGGAGTGTAGGCGTGAGCCTCCGTGCCTGGCTGAAAAATAAAATTCTAAGAAACAAAACTAAAGTGGCGAGTAATCCCACCAAAGAAAACACCTGTTTACTTGTTTTTGGTGTACTGTTTGTTGTAACATAGGCATATTTTTTAGGCAAGCTATCTACATAACTTTTTGAAAATAAGTTTGTAACTTATTTTCTTCACAGATTCTCATGTAATTAGGTATTCCTCCAAACTGTGGCTTAGTGTCTCCGTTATACTGTAATGCAAATACCATTATTAATCGTTCTTTTGTTTCCATTCCCCCGCCCCGTTTTAAATAACATGCGTTGAGCATATTTACACATCTATCTTTGAGTGTATCTCTGATTCTTCACCATAAATCCTTAGAAATAGAATTTCTGGATTAAAGGGCACTATTATTTTAAAGTATTTAAAGACATATATTCATCAGAGTAATTCGTTCCAATCTGGGCACCGACGGCTCACGCCTGTAATCCTACCTACTTTAGGAGGCTGAGATTGGGAGAATTGAGGTTTGAGGTCAGCCCAGGAAAATAGTTTTCAAGATCCCCATCTCCAAAATAACAGGAAAAATGGACTAGAGGCATGGCTCAAGCAGTAGAGTGCCTGCTTTGCAAGCATGAAGCTCTGAGTACAAACCCCAGTCCCACAAAAAAAAAAAAACTGGTTCTAATGTGAGAGAAAATTGTTCATATTTTTGAAGATAAGGTAAAATACATTTTGAGCACATTCTGAAAAAACAGTCCTTAGATATTAAGATGAGCGCTTGTGGTAAGAACTGAGTTCCACCACTATTTAGCATAAAATGCCCAAATTCTAGTCCTACACAAACACCTAAAAATGAATTTGTCAATTGAACATGAAATATGTACTGAGGTTAATAAAATGGACATGTGATGCCTGCCCTTATGAAACTTAAAACCTTTTTGAAAAGAAGGGACCCAGTACAGACTCAGTGCCTGCCATGTTATGCTGGGATATTTTGTGCAGTTTATCTTGTTTAAATCATCACGTTACTTCAAGGTAGGTGTTATTAGCACCATTTTAGACGTGAGACAGATTCAGAAGAGACATATATTTGATTTTTTTTTCTGAAGGTTATGTAGAAGGTAAAACGACATGAGCCTTTTGTGAGGGAAATGGGGGCATTTCCTGTCTATACCGTGGCAATTATTTTGTACGACTGACAGTATAATGGTTAATAGTGTTGGTTCTGGAGCTAGATTTGAGTCTGAATCTGGATCATATTTACAATCTTACTAGTTATAGGAACTGGGTTAAGTTACCCTCACTAAGTTTTTTTTTCCCCCCCATATAGGGTTTCCACCAGAGTAGTACTTAATGCTAAGACTTAATACAGGCTCTTCCTCTCCCCTTCCCGAACATTTTAGTACATAATGATCCTAAAAGCATTAGGAAGAGTCAAGCAAGGTAGGCATTCATGCTGGAGGTAGGAGTGGCTTCAGTGGTTCAAGTGGGGTAAGCAGGGCTTCCACATGAGGTAGCAGCCCAGTGTGGGGTGCCAGAGCTTGGGAGGAGGGGCACTCACATGGCAGGATGGTCCAGCATGGGCAGCTGGTGTGTGAGACGGTGGTTGGTGTTTGTGACCATACAGGTCAAGGGACAGCCCAGTGCTGGGCACTGGATCCCAAATAGGCTGATGCATCCCTTAGGGGATGGCCCAATATGGAGGGTTGAGACTTGAGTAGGTTCAAAGGGGTGGCCATTCTGTGGAGTGTCAGAGCCTAAGTGAAGCAAAGAGGATGTCCTTGCAGAAGAATAACCTACATCAGAAACGATGGGGTAAGAAAGGCACACAAAATGGGAGATTTGTTACAGGGACATTAATCAAAGGAATCAACATACCAAAGACATTTGGAACCAGGATTCTGAATATCAGAAAGGGAGAAAACTGGAAAAAATGATATGATGTGTTAGAATAAGACATATTGATGTAGGAAAAATAGGTAAGTGTGTGTGTATATGCGCCAACAAGCACATGAAAAAATACTTAACATCATTAAGTGTAGTCATTAAGGATCAGGCTGTGACCTCACACCCACCAGCATGGCTCTAATCAGTATTAATGCTTTTGGCCATTTGAACTGCATTTTCTTTGGGAAAAATGTCCGTTCAAGTTGTGTGTACCTTTTTGTATGTTCTGTTTTTGGAAACTTTGATATATTGCCCAACTAAAATTTTTTTTTAAATAAAAGGAAAAGCCATTTTACTTCTCTGGGTCCCATTTTCTTCATTTTTTAAATTACCTTTTCCCATTTTATTATTGTTGTACTGGGGGTACATTGTGATGTTTACAAAAGTTCTTACAATATATCATAGTTGAATTCACCCCCTCCATCCTTCTCTTTTATCCGCCTTCTTCCCCATTCCTGGAAGAGTTTCAACAGGTCTCATTTTCCCATTTTAATGCATGAGTGCATAATATTTTCACCATATTCACCTCCTACATCCTTTCCTTATATCCTCCCCATTTTCTTCACTTATGCAGTGAAGGGATTGGACTAAACAGGACTTTTCAACCTCCTTAATCTTGACATTTTGGGAGTGCTGTGCACTGTCGTATGTTTACCAGCAACCCTGGCCTTTACCCACAGGTGCAGGAAGGAATTCCTTTTCTCCTAAGTTGTGACAATCAAAAGTCCCCACTGGTTGAGAAGCTTTGCAGCCAAAGCCTCTGTTCCTGGATCACTTTCCAGGTAGTACTGATGCTGTGTAAGCTATTTTCATTAATAAAAAGCCAAATCAACTGCAATTGTACATTTATTTTAACAGAGACTGTATGGACTGATTGAAACCTCATGCTTCTTTGCTTTATTAATGTGAAATCACCTCCCAATACAAATACTGCTTGATTATCGTGGACCTGATCACAAACCCTGATTAGCATTTATTTATAAATGTAAGTTATAAAAATGAGAGACCAAATTGTCAATTAATTGTTTCTACTTTTTTAAATTACAGATTTCAGATAAAAAGATTGGGAGCCACTCAGCTAAGATGACCAGCATTAACTGCTGACTTTAAACCCAGTTCTGTTCTTTACCAGGTTTCCACAGGATGGCGGTGGTGAGGTTTTAGTAAAATTTCAGACTGACACATGCACTTGGAAGTTAATCAGCACAGCTGAGGACTTTGCTGGCCTCAAAACAGAACCCAACACAAACCAAACCCCGTGGAATTTCTCCCGCAGGCTCCTGTACCTCACAATCTCTCCCGAAACTTCTCTCATCCCTCAAATGTCTCTGCTGAATCCAGTTTTAAAAAACAAAGCTCTTTTGTTCTACTTCCTGTTACCCAGTTGCCAGAAACCTCCCCTCCTGAAAAACAAAATGAAGATCTGAACATCTTACCAGTTGCTCATCAACCTTTGGTGGTTTCCCATTACCAGAGGCCTAAAATAAACTCCTTCAACTTCTATTCTGCCCCAGTGACCATAAGCTACTGTCCATTTGCTGTGCTCTTTTCACAAACCCACGTACTTACACCAGCTATTATCTTCATCTAGAAATTTCTCCTGCTGTTTGCTTTGCCTGGAATATTCCTCATCTTACCTCTATGGTCCTTCTCAAATGAGTGCTTTCTTTTTCTTTCTTCCTTTCTTTCTTTTTTTGTTTTTGTGTGTGTGTAGTATGGTGTTTTGAATTCGGGTTTTATACTTGTTAGGGAGGCACTCTACCACTTGAGCCATGCACCCAGTCCTTTTTTCTTTATTTTTGGATAGGACTGATTTTGAACTGTGTCCTCCTACCTATGCTTCCCCTGTAGCTGGAATTTCAGGTGCAGGCCACCACACCAGCTTATTGATTGAGATAGGGTCTTGC